CCGAGGGAGCGGGCGGGGGGGGGGCGGGGAAAGGAAGGTGACAACAGAAGGCTTCTGGCTTAACCCGTTCCTGTCCCTATCGGTGGAGAAGGAAATGGCAACCCATTCCAGTATTCTTGCCTAGAGAAGCCTGTGGACGGAGGAGCCTGGTGGGCTGTGTTATAGGGTCTCACAGAGTCGGACACGACTGAAGCGACTTAGCATGCATGCATGCATTAGAGAAGGAAATGGCAACCCACTCCAGTATTCCTGCCTGGAGAATCCCAGGAACAGAGGAGCCTGGTGGGCTGCCGTCTATGGGGTCGCACAGAGTCGGACACGACTGGAGCGACTTAGCGGCGGCGGCAGTCCCTACCGGAATGAGCTGGTGGATAATTTCTACCGCGCGTGACCTAGTTGGTTGGCATCCAGTTTAAATACCATTTTTGTCCCGGGAGAGGGAAGCAGAACTGCACCTAGAGGAGTAAAAGTAATGTATCCGTCGCCACTAAGACATAGACTTGACTCCCGAGCATAAATAGCTCGTTGGGAAACCAAGCTCTAACAAATATTTGGAGAATAACCTAAAAAGTAGTTTGCATCTGATTAAGATGAAGATATTTGTTTAGTGGCTTTTTTATTTAGGGCAAGAATTTAGCAGATATGCAGGAGAGTGACATTGGAAAAAAAAATACTGTGCATGGTTTTCACACTGTGGATATCAAGGTGAACATATTAAAAAAATCTAGTTGCAGATGAAAAAAGGGCAATCTTTGTCATGGCCATAAATCCCCGATTTTCATTTTCATTAGTGCTCCGTTGCAAAATATAGCCAAGGGGAATAAAAACTGAGGGTCTGCAGATACGTGGCCAGAGACACAAGAACTTCCCCCCGATTCTGATCCCTGGGGAAAGAGGAGAGGACAAGGCCGGCGACTCAAGAGTCCGTGGTACCGACTTTGAGCGTCCAGGCATTTCTGAGCTTGGTCAGAGCAGGTGGAGGCCTCGAAGTGGTGGTGGGGCCACGCAACCCGAGGAAGCCTTTATGCTTGGATCTCGGGCCTACCTGTGCCGGATTCAGCCACCTGCCAGACATCCCAGGTATTTTAAAAAGCATCTGCTTCAACGCGTGTTGCTGTATCATCTGGCCTCTGTGCACCGGACGCCAAACGTTAGACCTGCTGGGTTAAATTAAAAAAAAAAAAAAAACGCAAAAGCCTTCCCCTCGGCGTGGATAAGCGCTCCCACTCGCCCCTGCTCCCTCTCCCGCCCTGCGCCAACACATTCCCATTCAGCAGCAACGATCTGCGCAAAGGAGCTGCGCAGTCGCCGGGCTTGAATTAGGCGCCATCGGGCTTGGTAGTAGCCCTGCTGCTCCCTGATTGGCAGCTCCCTGGCCCGGCGCCAGCCTATTGGGAGGCCTGTTTACGCCGAATGAGTGGCACGAGCTCCCGGCCGCGGAGGGCCGCGCGGCCAATCAACGCACAGGCTGCTCCGGGCTGAGTGGCACGAGCTTATTAGTATGCAGGGCCCGTGGCTCGCCGCGCCGGGCTGCAGGTTTGAGAGCCGCTCTGGATGGGCTCGCTAGAGTCGTTGTTGTGGAAGCGGTGCATTTACAGTGCAACAGTCAGCACATTGAAAATACCAATAGGAATACAAAACAAAGTCACATTTACTGGTTTAATTGTATTGCATTCAATTGTATCCAGGAAACAACCTCCAGTAAGTAACTGAAATTGCTTTCATTTTTTTTGTTTTTGTATTTTTATTATTTTATTTTTATTTTGGCTTTGGGGATTTACATTTTTTTTTTTTTAGTAAGAGAAATTCAGGGTTGCGATGTTAAGTATATATCTTCCCTTTTAAAAAATCCGTTATAATGTCGAACAGGCTTTTTTTTTTTTAATGGACTATATATAATAGCGATTTTTTTCCCCTCTGAAAAATCTTATCGATCGGTTTAAAATTCCCCCCGTAATGCGTCCTTGCTTTGCTCTGAGCGCTTGTTGTCTCGATCGACACCCAGCATTAAAAATAAATAATCGCGACAGGAAAGGGACCGCCAGGCTGCGTCCGGCGAAAGCCGCGCGGGCAGCTCCGGCAATACAGTCGGCGAGGTTCCCGACGCAGCCAACGCTCTCCCGGCTCTGGCGGCACCACAAATGAACCCCAATTGTTTGCACCCCCGCCCCCCACGCTGCTCCCCTCCCCCGAGCAGCCTTGGGTCAGCTCCGCCCGGTCGCTCCGCGGCGCCGGGAACCGGCTGGCTCGCGCTGGCCGAGGCGGCTGAGCCGCCTACCTGAGGGGCTTGCCGGCCGCCAGCCGCGTGCGGGGCGAGGGACCGGGCGGAGAGGGGTAACGGCGAGGTTTGTGGGGGTTCGCTTTACAGAGCCTAATTCATTTCTGGACATTTCAGAAAAAAATTTTCTGGGGCGGCTGAAGGTGGCGGAGGGGGCCAAGCGAGGCCAGCGAAGAGTGGTTTTCTCACCGAGCGCATTTCGGGCGGCGCGCAGGGCTCAGACCACCACCCCCGAGGCGGCATCTGCGGGCGGGTGCGCTTTGGGGTGCGGGGGCCCGGAGCGGCCACGGGCCTCGGTCCTCTCCTGGCGGGAGTAGGGTGGGTGTCGGGTGCGACCGTTTCGCAGGGAGCGGGTTCTACGGCGGCGCCCGAGCAAGCCGCGCCGGGTGTGCGCGGGGCCCAGCCCAGCCTGCAGGCCCCACAGCGCCAGCGCACCGGGAGACGGCGCCGGAGGATGCGGGTGGCAGAAGCAAAGGGAGGATTTTCCGTGTTTAAATTAAAACCGAAGGAGCCGCTCCCACAATCCTGGAGCGCAGAGAGACTGGCGACTCCTGGGATCACGCCGCGGAGTCCTGGGGAGGGCCCGGCTTTCCGAGGTTCGACTCTATCCAAAATACCCTTGTCAGCGATTTTCCAGCCGGCACGGGGGCCCCTGGCATGCCACCGCTTTCGCTCGGTGTCCTTTCCAAGTCCGGCCCGACGCGGGCTGCGGTCTCTCTTGGCGCTGGGGGGAGGGGGCTCGGAGCCCTGGGATTCGCAGATGGCGGCGCCTGGGATCCGAGACTTCGGGCCCAGGCGGCGGTGGCCGCGCGTCGCCGCCCCGCTCCCTGCCGGGCTAGTGCTCCGCAGGCCCCCGGGAGCCGCTCTCTGGCGGACTGGGAGGCGCGGCGCGGCCTCTTCCCCGGAGCAAAGAACACAAAGGAAAGCCCCTCCGACCTGGTAAGAATCTCCGCGGTCGGAGGGGCGACAACAACCCATCCCTTTCCGAGTCAAAGTCTGGAGGGCTGGTGGGGAAGGATCGGTCTGGCCCACAGAAGGTGAAGATTAAAGCTGTTGCTGGTAGCCAAGCCCGCGTCCCGAGAATCGAGAGCAACTCCTTTTCTCGACAATTTTGGAGTTTCTTATTGGAAAAAAGAAACCCCACAAAACAAAAGCATAGTATACGCGGTTTCCCGGAGGCCGCTGGGAAGCCCCCCACCCCCCGTGCGCGCAGCCGCGGGCCTTCGGCGCCTTTGAAGCCGCAGGTTCTCGACCTCCCTCCCCTCCTTCTTTCCCTTTGTCCCGCCCCGTGCCCCCTGGCTCGCAGCTCGCTGCTGCCCGGAGGCCCTAAGCCCCACGCGGGCAGCCCCTCCCTCCCCTGACCCCAGCGCGGGCAGCCCCCTCGCCCGGCGCTCTCCTGGTCCTGAGGCCAGGCGTTCTCTCAGTAGGCCCGAGCGGCGGCGAGCTGAGTGATTTGTTAGACCGGGGTAGAGAGCTGAAGATCCCTAGAGGGGAAGAAGCCCAAAACCCCTTTGTAGGAAGTTGAGAGACAAAGAGAACTCTTTGTGTAGGTCCCGTTTATTTACAATGCAAAAGCTCTCCGAATAAATATTAAAAAGCTTATCAGCTGAGCAAATATGTATTCGCTTAATACATTATGTTTTCGGTTATAGATTAAATCAAACACAAAACAGTCTGCAAATAAGACGTGTAGAACCTGTAGCATTAAATATAGTAATTTTAAATAGTATTCACAAAATGGAAAACATCTTAATCGCTTTGTTGTCACGGTGGGACGACTAAAAAAAAAAAAAAATCCGAAGACTTTCTGCAAAGTTCACAGTTAAGAATATTGAGCCTGCCCATCTCCCTTTTGTTCGAAGTGATATCAAACGTTAAAACAATGCAGATTGAGGAAATGAGAAATGTGCAAAATGAAAGAGGTCCACGCGGGCGCACAGCTGTTCAGTTTATGTTGCTTGCTTCGTCGTTTAACACTCAGCGTCTGAAATTGTCTCCAATTTCGCCTCGGAGTGGACTCTCCGCGTTGGGTGGGGGTGGAAGAGAAGGGAGGTGGGGGACATCATAAGTGACTCAGCCGAGAGGTGGAGGTGGACGACGGAGGCCAGGGGTCAGCTGGGACCTGGGCATTGGCGAAGGTTGCCCTGGGCCGGGCCAGTTGTCCGCGGCCCTGCGGCCGAGCCCGGCGTCGCAAACCCCAAGTCCCCGGGCCGTGCGGAGAACGGCCTCGGCTCAGCGAGCGACCTGGGGCAGGCGCCGAAGGGAGAAATTCCGTGGCCGATTTGGGGCGTTGAGGAAGAACAATTTCTGACTCTCAAAGAGGCCCCCACCAAACCCCCAATTCGCAGAGGAAGATCCTGGGAGAATTTCACCGGGGGGCGGGGTGATTGTTTGAACCTCGCTAGGAAGCTCCCGGACGGACGGCCGGGCACTGCGGCGTGGCGGCCCAGGTGACGCCGCCGGCGGACGTAGACCCCTGGGGCTCGGGGAGCTGGCCCAGGGTCCGAGCTCGGCATTGCGGGGTGGGGGTTTGGTCCCGTTAGGGCTGTGGCGGGGCGGGGGTTGGGGGGAGGAGCGGCGGGTTCAAAAGAATGGACCAAAAGACGCATGGGGGGGATGGGAGAGGGGAAAAAAGGAAGGTTATAAAAAAANGCCGAGCCGCCCCCGGGCCCCGGCCGTGCTGCTCCTGGGAGGCGGCGGCTGGCCGGGGCCGGGGCCCGGCATGGATGGCCGCGACTTCGCACCGCCGCCTCATCTGCTGTCGGAGCGCGGAAGCCTGGGCCACCGCAGCGCTGCCGCCGCTGCGCGCCTCGCCCCGCCCGGGCCCGCCGCGCAGCCCCCCGCTCACTTCCAGCCCGGAAAGTACTTCCCGTCGCCGCTGCCCATGGCTTCGCACACAGGTCAGTGCCAGCCGGGCGGGCGCAGGAGAGGAGACCCTGCCGCGAGGTGGGCACGGTCGAGGGTCGGATGGGAGCCTGCCCCTCCTCTCTTGGAGCGTTTGCGGAGAAGCCTTCGGTTTCATTTCCCTGCTCCGGCACCGGTGGCGGCCCGCGCGTCCTGCGGGGGCCCCCCGAGCCGGATCATCGCGGTTTAGAGCGCCCTTCCCCGGGGTCCCCCAGGGTCTCGGAGGGGCAGCCCCGGAGCCGGCTAAAAATAAAGCCTTTCCCCTCCTGCACCCTCCCCCACCCCTTCCTGCCGAAGAACTAAATTCCGCGGAAACCTCATTTCTGCATTTTGCATTCACATCCTTAAGACATTCCGGGGCTGGGACAACGAGGCCACTTTTCTGCGGGAACAAAAACGGCTGTTGTGACTTGGGGAGGGGAGTGCCGCGGCCTCTCGGATTAGGGCGGTGTGTGCGCGGGGTGAGCGTTAATAGGGACTGCTGGTGTAAGACGAGCAAATCCTGTTTCTATATAAAGCCTTGAAGTGTCAGGGCGAGAATGGGTTTGCAGGGGATGCATTTGCTTTAACAAGTGCCTCTGGTATCCTGCTAAAGCCGGACAAAGCGTGGCCAGATCGTGGCCCAGCCTCTCGGCCTGCGCTCTGGGGGAGGGCAGCGCCGGCGCCGGCTCGGCTGGGGGCGGCGCGGGGGCCGCCGCCGGATTTCGATGCAGGCGAGTTCGCAGATTTGCTCCAAGAGAAGAGAGCTGGGGCCTCCCTGCACTCCAGTCCTCTCCCGGGAGAGAGCTGTTCCTTGGCAGAGCTGACCCAAATCTCCAGAACGGTCCCCCTCTGGGGTGGCTTCGATACTACTGTCGAGCCAGGTCAGAGGAGAAGCAGGGCCAGGCAGAGGGTGGCAAAGGGGCCTCTACCTCGCCGAGACCCTGGAGGTCACTGGCCAGCGCCGGCTGAGCTTGCAGGAAGCCAGAGTGGCTGCGCGTTTGGGGACCCGCTGGTCACCCTGGAAGGTTGGCTTGCTTTTGTTTACAGTTTGTTCTAAACATTAGAAATGTTGTTTGCCTCTTTTTTTGTTGTTGTTGTTGTTAATTTGGCAGTAACAGTTATTATTGCTAGCTTGATGAACTGTGAATACTAATAAAATTATATCTGCTTTAATGGGATTACAATTAGTGTGTGGATTAAAACGGATGGCAGAGTCAGGCTAGAAGGGAAAATGTCAGAAGGGAGGGCAGTCAGAAAGAAAAACATAAATTTCCTAAAAAGAAAAAAAATAATGAGAAATTGCTTAATTACTAATGGGCTTTTAGCATTTACAACATGAGATTCAAAAAGTTAGAGCAAGCTGGGAGTGGAGGGGCTGGACTCAGCCCTCTCCTGGAATCAGCGCTTCGCCCGTGTTTCCTGTTCCAGTACAAGCCTTCTGCAAGGGTGCTTTTTTCCTCTGCCTCGCTCTTCCCTCTTCCTTGCTTTTTTCCTCTTATAGATTTATAACTCAAAAGAGCAAAAGCACTTGCCTGGGCAATCGGTGATTTTAAATATCTGTCCTTACTGTCCCTGTGGTTGTCTCTCCTGCTTCTGCATTGGAGATGCTGCCTGCCCAGCTCAGCTCACACTGAGGGGCTGTGGTTGGGGGCTTGTGGTAGCTGTAGGGACAGTGCCATAGCATCCCTAGTCTTTTTTGGATGCATCACCCCCCCCCCCCATGCCATATGCCAGGCCCACTAGCCTGGAGGGTAACAGAAATGAGGGTTCAGAAGAGCCCTTGACACCAAGGCTGTCCCAGTAGTGCACAGACAGGCTGGGGCCATGCCCTCCTGGGGGCAGTGGGGGGCGGGGGAGGCACTGCCAGGCTGGATTCCCCATCAGTTTAAGTCACTGCTGCCTCCCTCGTCCCTATTCAACAGCCCACAGCCCTCGCCAGATCCTGGTCAGCCGCCATTTCTGCTTTCTGCTCTTATATCCAGATGCAGGCACCACCAGGCCAGGTGGGAACATGGTCTGGGTGACCCGAACCATTGTCTTGCTCATTCCAAGTTTGACCACGTGGTTCTTGGATCGTAGTCCATGGAGGGACTGGAGAAATCAGGTGGGCTCTGGCCTGGTTTGTGTCCTTGACCCAGACCCTACTCACCTTCCCCATTTGCAGGGTGCTCTAGAGCGCACTGGAGGTCCCCAGGGCACCCTCAGGGGGCAACTGGGGGCCCACATGTCCACTGCTCCTAGAGGCTGCTTCCACCTCCCTGGGGGACCAGAGAGACCTATTGTGCCTGAAGATGTTCAACCCATTTGTGACTGGAAGGCTGGCCTAGAGGGCGTCCAGCTAGAAACATCTGCCGCTGAAAGGCTTTTGAAATTGCTGAAAGCCAGGATCTTGTATTGGTTTTAAAATTTAGCTACATCAATTAAAAAAAAAAGAATTATACCTCAGACTACTTTGCTTTGGTCTCTATCTATATATGATCGAGGTTAAAAGGGAAAAAGTATAATTAAAAATTTTTTTTTTTTTTTTGCATCTCGTGTGCGGATTTCAAAATGGCCAGTTTGGCGGACTTTCTTCCCATTTCCGTGATGGCCTCAGGTCCATAAGCCAGGCTGCAGCAGCCCAGCCTACCCCTCCCTCCACTGACTACCCTGCTGAAAGGAAAATTGCAGCGAGCTTCTTCCTATTTGTCCAGCTCTAACACGGGAGTAGGATCCAACTACCAGAGATCGAGTCCCTGGCTTCTGAGGATTCCTCGTCTTGGCTCAGCCCCCCAGCCTGGGCCAAGGGTCTCCCTCCCTGCGCTCCTCCAGTGCTGCCCCCACCCAGCGCTTTCATAATGTCAGCTTGAAGGACCCCGATGGGATGTTGGGCTCCAGGGCTTCTCCCATTGTTTTTCTCAAAATGAAAGTGCGGATAGCTTTATCATCGGGCTGTAGGGTTTTATGGTAAAGTGCTGTTCCGGTAACCTTGTCACCAAAAGGTGCAATTAGAATGTTTGGAATCATTATTTTTAGAGCAGTGTTAGATTTTGTCTCTAATACAGATGGTCCGGAGGCAAAGCTGTGAAATCTAGGGGGGAAAAAATGAAAATCAACAACACACCAGCCCAAGATTTTTCATCAGTGCTACTGCCTGGAGCGATTGGGGATCGCGCCTCTCCTCAGAGGGAGCGCGTCTTATAGGAGGCAGCCCTGCCGGGAGAAGCCGGGTCCCTGCCCCCTCTTGCAGCCGGTCAGCTACAGCTACTGCCCTTCATCCTTTTCTGTGTGTCGCCCTTGGGGCCAAAGGAGAATCACTGGGTCTCCACCCAAGGAAGGCGGAGGTTTCGACAATGTGACTGCGGGTGGGTTCTCCTCTCCGCCCCTTCTCTTGGCTTCTTTGGCGTGTAAATGGCCCAACCTGGAAGCCAGGTGCCCTGGGCCTGTGGTTGTTGTTGAGAGTATACAGGGCGGCAGGTTCCTTCTGGTGGGAGAATCACAAACTTCTCTCCTGCTAAAAGTGCTTCTGATCCTTAATCTCAAAAAGAAAAAGAAAAATGCAGTGTGTGGGGGGGGGGATAATTTCCTGATGTGAAAAGACCCCATCAAAGGATCCCCTTCCCTTCTCATGTGATATTTTTTCGTATAGGAAAAAAATTACAATTTCGTAAATACCTCATTAACTTAATGACACGATGGAGTGTTTCGGCAACCGTTACCAACATTAAGTAGGTGTGAAAAGAGTTACTTTCCGAAGACTCTACCCATCCTGCTCTGTAAGTGGCAGAAGCAAACATCAAAGCCACGGCCGCCCTGTGGAGCCCAGAATCCGGCGGCCGCGTGGACCGGCCAGGCTGCGGCCGCCTCACCCACCCCAACGAAGCCATTTTTGGAATGTGGGTTTTTTCTCAGTGGGGCTTGTACTGCCCCCATGTCTGATTATTCCTACAGGGATATTCCTATAGGAATATCCAGGTCACGTGAGCACGAAGGCAAATTAGCCAGCGAGGCAGGGAGTGGCCTTGTGCGGATCCCTCATCACCCCCAAATGCTCCCGTTTATTCTTAGAAATCTCCCTCGTCTGCTGTGAGACTGGGTTCAACAGCCCGCACAGACAGGACAAAACGCACAGGAGGCTGTTAGAATAACATGGAGGGAGCTAAAAATACCCCTCAGAAACACACATAAAAAAGCCAAATCCAACAACAGAACGAGCTAAAAATATTCCAGGCTTTGGCAAAGAGCACAGAGTTAAATAAATTATACAAGAGCCATTCATGGGAGCAAGTTGACTTTCTCTCTTACGGGAACTTGGTTCAAGCTAATAAAAATAATAATTTACTGGCCACTGAGCTTTGCTTGAGTTTAGATTTAATTGGTGGGGCTTCTGGCGTTTGTCACTTCTTGGCGATTAGTGGGCTTGCCCTGGCCTGGGGTAGTATAGGGAGGGGGTGCTGAGTCTGGGTCCCTGGAAGCAGGGGCAGGGTTCCCCTCCCCCCACCCTACTCGAGGAGCAGGGCCTGGGTACAAGGGCAGGATGCCCAGGAGGCCAGAGAAGGAGGGAGGCTACAGGGGAGTGGTCAGGGAAGGCAGAAAAGGGACAGGCAAGGCGCCGCTATTTTAATTTGATAAATGATCGTACACCTTTAAGAGTGTGTTTTAACAATCAAGATACACTCCAGCAAGTTGATAGGATGTTCGCTGTCAACTTACATATGTCATCAGCGTGGGCTGTGAGCATAAATAATGTGCGAGAGTGTGCGGGATGCGCTGCAGCCTCTCCGGGAGCCCAGCAGGTAGCACCCCTGTCTCTCCTGCGGTCTGGAGGCAGCTGCCAGAGGAGGAAAGGCGTTGGGGAACTTCAGGCCAGGTCTTCCCTCCCTGGGGAGTTCCCAGGTCTCCTCACCAAAATAAGAGCTCCAGACAGTTTGCTCAGGGAAGCCACTGCGGGTGTGATCTGAGGCTGGAATCCAGTATTGGCTGGTGTCTTTTCAGGGAGCAGATGTCTTAAGTTCAGCCATTTCCCAGGAATGTC